AACCCCTGCCTAGCCCGACACCCGTCCAGGTTCTGACAGGAGGCGCGCAGCGCGTCCCGAGGTGAACCAGTCTCCACCGACCGACATCCCGGCCGGCCAATCCAGCCGCGAGGCTCCTTCCCTGGGGCGGGGACAACTGACAGCTGGAAGGGGGCGTGGAGCGTTTACTATTTCCCTGTGGAGCTTGGAGGATTTTCCCACATTGTGGGGGCGTGGCTGCGGCGCCGGGGGGCGTGGCGCACGCAGGTACAAGTGACATGTGCTTAACTCCAGCTGTCAAACTGGATTTTCTGTGTTCGTCGCCTCCAGCGTCACATACACGGAGCGCAGCGGAGTCAGGACACGAATTCAGTTTACATAGTCTCACATAAATGAATGTATCAGCGATAAAGCTGGCACTCAATGGATTCATGTTTGTTTATAGCCTGGAACAAGAAGGATAAAGACAAGGCAGATAGGCTGTTCACTTCAGAAGGGGATTTTCCCTAGTGAATATGATACAAATTCACTCTGCAAGGAATACTCAATCATGTGCAAGAAATTATAATAATAAAAAAACTGTACTTGTGCTTGCACATGATTGAAATATGGAAGTCTAAGGGGAAATTCCCTTGCACAGCGAACAGCTCGCGGTGTACTGAGACCACTGCAGCCGGGACGGATCCCGACATTATTGTCGAGATACACCCTGCTGCGTGAGTGACAGCTGGCTCTGCCTATCTAGAGGCAGGGGGACAGGGGAGGGGCAGGATTCCCCCCGCTCCGATCCTCTAGCGCTGACTGGCGGAACGGACAGGGGAGGGGGCGGGTAGATAGGCAGAGCCAGCTGTCACTCACGCAGCTGGGCGGATCCAGACATAATTGTCAGGATCCGCTTCAGCTGAGGCGACTCAGTATACCGCGAGCTGTAGCTCGCGGTATACTGAGGTTAGGGTGACGGGAGGACGCTAGTTTATGTCCTCCCGTTACCCTAAGGAGAACTATGGGGAAAAGCCCTTACCCCATAGTTCTCCTTTTAGGATGCTTCACAATGAAAATGCAATGTCCCCCATTTGGTCAAGAGCCAGCTTTGCTTGGCTGTCCTTCCTTCACCTAACGCGGGTCCCCAATTCCGGCAGACGTAGTTAGGAGCCCCAGTCTCAGATTTCACTCATTAGTGGTGCTGCAGATATTGCGGTTTACCCATACAAAGATTCTCCATGACTTAGGGGTGGCCAACCTCGGCACTCCACCTGTTGTGGAACTACAAGTCTCATGAGGCACTGCAAGACTCTGACAACTACAGGTATGACTCCCAGAGGCATGAAGGGAATTGTAGTTTCACCACAGCTGGAGTGCTGAGGAGGTTGCCTATACCCCTGCTCTATTCTATAAAATGATTATATCATTGTATATCTATACAGCAGATCTTCCTGAGAGGAAAGTGAACCTGTCACAAAGCCAGGCCATGTAAAGCATGTGATTAAAAAAAAATGACACAAATGTTACCTTCATGGCAAAACTCATGTCAACATTTTGTTTTTGTGAATCTCAACTTTATTTGTAAATGTCAAGTATAGATCCTCCCCTCCCACCTCCCTATTGGCTAGAGAGCTTACCCCCATTCACACCTCATCAATATGAAACGCATTTCCAGAAATGCTTTGACGCTCAACACTCAGCTTTCCATGTTATTTTATTGTGCCCGCCCACGTCTGAGCCATGTGTTGTCGCTAAATACTCAGAAAAAGGTTCAGAGCTTCTTTGGGGCATGCTCGTGCATTTCTGGCACCAATACACTGCAATGGGGGCTCCTGAAACATGCACGGAACATGCTTTTATCTCTCAATATATCATACCTAACAACATACTGGGGAGGGCACGTGCTCTCTCCTCCTGTCAGCATGTTTATTGTCAACTTATGTATATGTAGAACACGTGAATTACCATATTACAAGAGAATAAAAAAAAAGTCCAACTCAGATACTTACACTGGTTGTATTAAAATATATATATATATAATTAAAGGGTTACAAACTACAAATAATTATATATTTCCATATTGAATTTCCCTATGTTCTATCTCACTCCTAATTAATTACCATATTGGTGTAGAAGTTTGTAAAGTTGCCCATAGGATGTAATTCCTCAATGCACTGACACAATTTCACTCAGCCCTGTGAATATGCACTTCCGATGGGATATGTAGTCTGGAGAAATTAAGATTGCATCACATCAACTAGCAGGGAAAGAGATGCAAAGCACACTGGGAATCCAGGAAGTTGGGGAAAGTGATGAGCAGACAGAAGGCAGCACTCACTACATAAAAGGGATTTTTATCAAGTAAGCTTTGATTGCATCATCAGCAACTATTACAATGCTGATGTCATAACAGGAGAGTCCATGCTGGGATGTTAGAACTCCTTTAAGCACATACATTGCCGTTGATCTTTCTGGCCCTCAGTTCTGGACACTTTTATACATTGGAGGTGCTCAGACATGCTGGGAGAGTGTTGATTGCTTAGCTGGACGCTCATATGAATGAGCTTTAAAAGCTGAAAACAACGCAGGTGAAGGAAGCAAGTTACCTACTTTACCAATTCCTGTCTCATAGTTCCATTCGGAAGGCAGCTGTAACAGGATATTGTAACAGATCTAGTTTGAAACTGAACTCTGTGTAAATAGGGTTTCGTGTGTGCATAGCTCTATAGGTAAGTGCCCGCAAGGAATGTTCGCAGCATGCACTCCCGTAATAGTACAGACAGATTCTCCATGAGAAGCATTCACAATGTGATGGATGCTGCATTAGGTAATAGGAGAGTGGGGATTTTGGTTAGCTATCAGCTCATTACAAATGGCAGCTCAGCGTCCTTCAACTGGGGGATTCACAGGGAGCGCGGTGCAATGTTATAGGAGCACCGGACACTCCTCTTCAAGATGTCAGGATGGAGGATGGAAGCAGCACCAAAGACTGTTCTGTTCCTGGCACATGGCAAACAGCCAAAATACAGC